TACGAAAAATTACTAACATGATCAAAATATCTCAATCAAGAAATACAATTCATCGCATTTACTAACTAAACAATATGCTGTGAAAAAGAAATTGTTCGATCCCTATTCACCGTAGACCTGTTTTTTTTACCCTAATTTCAATTTCTCTACCCTCACTAACGTTTCGAAGCGATGGCCGATCTTAACGTCTTATCAAACGCTGTCAACTTACTTTCCAGATCAATATCGCCTATTTCAACTGTCTTCGCGGCTTTCCTAAATCCGGATCTGAATCCGTTCGCCATATCTAAAATGGCGGCATCAAGAGCGTAGGCGGTGGCCGCATTTTGTTTGTTCGTTTTTATAAGATATTGTATAGCGCTGTATATTTCTTCCTCGGTTAGGATGTTATTACCGCCATCGTTTGAGAGCGAATCTATTTTTAAATTTAAACTTTTCAATGCCTGTGAAGTTTTTTTGGCAGTGTTGACGCTGCTACTTCTGCGGCTGCTGCTGTGGCTTCGAACGCTACTACATTGACTGCTGGCTACACTCATGCTATCGTCGTTTTTGTGGTTTTTCATGTTTAGGGTGCTGATGTCGATGTTGTTAGAGATATTTGAGAGAGATTCTGTTGTTAGTAGGCATGAGAGGTTCTTCACCATCAGTTCGTGCTGGTTGTTCGGGGATTTATATTTAGGATAAATTATTAAATTTATAAATTATTATTTATTATGTATTATTATTTATTTATTTATTTATGTATTATATTTATATATTATTTGTTTATAACAATCAAATAAATTAAAAAATAAACAAATTAATTAACTAATTAATAAAATCCACAAAAAACAACCTGCGACTTAATATCATTGAGACGCCGTAGTTCCACATCTTTTCCACTGCAATCCTTTTGCAAGGAATCCATTCTGGTTTCCAGCTGCCTCTTCTCATTCTTCAGTTGGGCCACGTTGTTGTGCAGTACCTTGCAGACCCCTTCCAGGTCGGAACTCTGCAGTTTCAACTGTTCCAGGGCCGATTGCTCTTCCTCTTTGTCGTTCTGTCGTTCGTGCAATTATGATGTAATAAAATATTATTATTATTCATAATAAAAATTGAAATGTGGTTGAGAAAAAAAAAAGATAGGGAAAAAGAGAGAGAGAGAGAGAGAAAAAGAGTATAGTAATAATAATAACAACATTGATTGCCTCTCTTAATTATTTCTTATTTAATTCTTAGAGGTAGCGCAACACACACAAACACATACACACACACACATATAGCACATTTGAATACGACTGAATGAATCCATTTTATTCCTTGCAAAAACTCAACCGGACATAGGCAGGCACCTGAAGTAACAAACCTTCACGTAGCATTTTTCATTGATCAAATTAAAATTTATTTCTTTCAAAACACGCCCTGTTGTTTTTCTTTACAAATACGCGCGCGAATCATGAAGATGACGTCATTGTATTGTTATTTACATATTTTTACATACAAAAATCAATGTGTTTTAAGATGAAAATATTACTTTAAATGTTTTTTCTTTGTTATTGTACTTTGTTATTCAACTTACTGAGCCTCATACATATTTAGGGTTAACATGGCACTAATTAAGTCGGAAGCGAAAAGAAAGCACAATCAATACTAATAGGATTGAATACGTGAATTTCAAAAACTACAACAAAAAATCGAAAATCATTTATTTGATTATCGCAACACTAAATCTCACCGTTAAATCAATGGTCGAATTTAGTCTGTCTTTGAGATGGTTGTTCTCTGCGGTTAACCTGGCCATTTCCTTCTTATAATTCTCCAAGAGTTTCATCATTTTTTTCACTTTTAAACAGGCATCATCTTTTTCCTTTTCAAAGTCGGACTTATTTGTTTTCTCATTTTCAAGGGCAGCTAACTTTTTTCGTAACAAATCCATGTGAAGGTTCTGTGGTGCGTGTGTGTGTGCGTCTGTCTGTGTGTGTGTGTGAGTGCTTGCGTGTATGTGTGTATGTCTGTGTGTGTGTGAATGAAGCAATGGCGGATCCAGAGGGGGGGGCGGTGGGGGCGATCGCCCCCCCCCACTTTGAACTGAGGTTTGATATTTTATGAAATAAATAACAAAAAGCCAAACACTTCAACTTCTTGATTTGTTTTAAATTGAAAAACGTTCTTCAAAACATTGTTCTGTTATATACATGAAATATTTACAAGACAAATGTCATTTTTCTACATTTTTTTCGGCCAAACCTTGTTATAATGTCTTCAATATCTAATTCAATATCGCGATGAATGTTCATTAAGGCTAATCCCGTTAGTCTTTCCTCATTCATTTTGGAGCGCATCCACGTTTTTAACCGCCTCGGGGTAGAAAATGAACGTTCTGCCGTTGCTACTGAAACAGGCATGGTGCACAATATTGACAACAGGCTGTGAATTGTCGGATAGAGATTGGAATTGCACAATGCGAGAGCTTCAATGGCCGTTTTGGGCAGTGAATTCATCTTTACCCAGTACTGCGTCCAGAGCATTTCTTCATTGCGTACAAATTCAATGGCCGTGTTGTCATCATACGAGGTCAAATTTGTTATTAAACTTTTATATTTCGTAACAGCTTGGTCAATTAAAAACCATGTTTTATTCTGTTCTGCATTACCACTTATTCGGAGGAAAACTGAAGGTATCAAACGACTCAAACCCATTATAGCTATTTGGATTGTTCCAAATTTTGATTTCATGTCTGTTATCATACTATCTAGCATGGGAATAAATATAGAAATCCTGAAATATTCTTCTAATGAGTTACTTTTAATATTTGCACGATTTACTTGTCTTTCTATACATCTTGGCATTTTTAATTCAATATTCAGTTCCTCTGCAACTTTAGAAACTCTCGTAAAGATATCATGAAATATTTGCTCAACATTTTCTCTTCTAGATTGAAGATTATCTATGACTCTATTAGCATGTTGAGCTGCCTCGACCAAATCTAAATTTTCTGTTTGTAAAGCTTTGCTTAATGGCTTAGTTAGAATTAATGGATCGGCAATTGAGTACAAAGCTATTAAAAATTCAGAATCAGTTAAAGCCGATAACAACGTCTTTGCTTTGGATGATGTTTCTCTGTCATGCCAATTAGCAATATTTTCTAAAGAAGCTAGAACATATTGCAGGGACTGTCTAAAACTGATAATCGAATCATGGCGTTCAACCCAACGTGTCTCACATGAAGGCATGACATTTTGTCTCAAATTTTGACTTTCATTTTTAAACATTATTCTTTGCACTAATTTTCTTTTGGCCGATGCGCGAAAAAAGGAAGCCGTTTGCTTAATAGTGCCCATTGCATTTCTTATGGCTTGTACATCGGATGTTTTAGATAAACTCAAGTTCAGTCCATGGTTAGTACAAACACAATGAATACATGATGTAGCTTTTTTTGATATTTCTGCAGCTGCACCACATGACTGAGATGTCATGACAGAACATCCATCTGTTCCACAACCAACACAATGCTGTGGATCTAAAGTTAGCGCTTTTAGTAAACGTAACACTGAGCCGGCTAACATTTTTCCGGTTAATTTTGGTTCCGATTCTATATCTTTGTATGCATCCTCTAGAGAATCCACAAATGCAACAAAATCTTCTCTAACCTGGCCGTTGTAAACATATCGTAAGCTCAAA